AAAAGTCAACATTCTTGAAAAAATGTTTACACACCTAAAATGGTTACACGTTGATAATTTATGTATATATAGATGTATGCATGTTCAGTTTTTTTTTTAAGTTTAATTGTTTCGGTTTTGTGCGGTGATCGAAATTTGTATTTAAGTACATACATACTTATGTATGTACATATAAAACATAAATGTTTGTATGAGACAAACGAAATGTTGATGACGTGTCCGCAGCAATGATGAGCATCGACATACAGTGACTCGAGCAAGTGACCACGTGCTGATTTTTTAAAATATTCATAATGTTTCTCGAGTTAAATTTTTTTGTCACGTTTCTATATAAATATTGTCTAAGCTTTAACCAAAGCCATATAACCATAGTTTCAAACTTTATAAAAAAATTAAGGATTAAAAAATTTTGTATCAAAATTTAAAATTTTTTTATACAGGCATACATACATATCGTCACCTGAAATGCAGAAATACGTGTTTAATAAAAATATCAAAATTCACTTTTTGATTGATTCATATTTCATCGAATAACAACTCCCACATAATTTTATAAAAAAAAAATATTAGTCACGACTTTTTACATTTCAGTTACGATACGATGTTGTTACGTCTCCTTGCATTTCAGGTGACGATATGTATATATATTTAAGCGCCCGTTCAGCAGCTTTGATTTATTCCATTAAATTTTTAGCACACGATTTTAGCTTTGTATGTAAATACAGTAGAGGCTCAGAAATGTTAAGACTCACAAAAGTTAAAAACCACGGTAAAGTTAACTAGGTTTCTGCCACCACAGGAAACCCTAAAAAGTTAACTTTTCGGTTAACTGTTGTGAGTGTTTTTTTTTCTAACATCAATTTGATTTTGATCAAATCTCAAATACATTTCCCAACTCCTCGAAGTTCTAATATAAGTTCAGATATAGTAAATGGAGGCTCATTTTGACAAACGCATCACTCAAAAAAGGGTTACGACGAATTAAGGGTCATCCGAATGCATTTTTTATAACTACATATTTCTTGTTTTTAATAAGACATTGTACAAAATACAATGGGGCAAAGGTATGAAATATCGTTTTATTACTTCACATTTATTTAGATATACGGTTCAAATTACATTACTGTCCTTAAACTGTTAATAATTCGTAAAAGTTAATAAGCCGAAAAACAAACTGGTTAACTTTACTGGATCTCTACTGTATATCCATACATACATACATATATACATATGAAAGTATTTATGTCGCTCATACCACTTGCCCCTCATTCCAGTTTTACACGCGATCTTTGAATACAATAAGCTACCTTCTGATCGACGTCGTTTTATGCGCATTCTTTGATTTGGTTGTTTCATTTTAGTAAAGATTTTTTGCAGATTAGCTCAGTAAATATGTAGGTATACACATATGCACATTGGACATAGGCGTGTGAAATTTAAATGTTGTCTCCCCCTCCAATAATTATGTTATTTTTTGGAATAAATATCTAGGTATGTTAAATTAAAATGCATCTTGGGTTTTGTTCTAGCATGTCGATTTTTTTTATTGTTGACATGTATATATTTTAGGATTTTTAGCAATTTGGCTCATTTCAGCAGCATTCGTGAGCCGGTTCGTATTGAAAGTACCCATTAAAACAACGTTTTTTCCGAAAAGAACGATATTGTTAACGGTCTGAGAAGATTAAAAAAATTTAAATGTAAGAAATTTTAATTAAAGTTTTTCAACATTTCTGCCAACTTTTGAAAATTAATACATTTTTGATGCAGTTCGATACAATTTTTGGATGCGTATTTTATGTTAAACGAACCAAGTCATTTTCATCCTTTTTTCATTTTTAAGTCATCTTCGATATGAAATGAGATAAATTGGTGGAAAGCCGTAAAGTTTTTTCGTGAGGCATTCTAATGTGCGCACATAGATACATACGAACACATCTACTTTTATTATTCATGCTATTGGACGTAATATTATTTCAGTTGTTGATTAAAAGGCAGTGAACTGGACGTTTCGCAGTAGCGGTTCCGTCACAGCCACCGCAACCAACCACCGATTTTAGTTGCCGCCAATAATTGCCCTCTACACGCACGAATATTCGTTACGAATTCGAAGTCACTCAGCCACTTTAGGTGATCGCCAAAGCATTGACGTTGTGCCTGGCAGCCGGCGTGACTGCCGATTATGACGTTGCTTCAAGCGTTTTAGTGTATGCGACGAAGCGGCTGGCTTTGCTGGTTGATGTGTGATCGGTCGAAATGGCGCGCTACTATAAGCTGGTTGGTATTGGTGGGTGACTCATGTTGTGACAAATGAAGTTTGTTGTAGCCAGTTATGCGATACCAATTTCGCTGCAGCGCCAGGCTCCGACAAAGTTTTGTTTTCGTTCTTACTTTTTATCTCTAGACATTTTGGTGTTGTGATATTTTGTCACTCTTCGTATAAGTGTGTGTATTTTATAATTATTCTTACGCATGGGTATTTATTAGTGTCCGATCGAACTCGAATTTTTGGCCGAAACCGAACCGAATACGAAATTTTTAGAGTAAAAATTACATATATAGCTTGAAAAAATCAGTACTTTTACTCAGTGAAGTACAAAGCGATATTACCTTCGAATAAATGTTCCAAGCACCCCTATTATATTTGGGCTTATAAAATTTACAAATCGGATTGCTTTGAGCCACTGCATCTGCTTTAATTAACACTATAGAGCATGTTAGACATTTCGGAAATGAGTTGCATGAGCACTTACACCTTGCATGTAAATTGTATTTCGAAAGAGGTTCGNAACTGACCAAAATAACGCACTCCTATTATTTTGTGGACCACTGTATGTCATAATCCGAAAACAGTGTTTTTACGTGACGAGTAATACGATATCGTATCGTATCGTATGTGACGATTCGATGCTGGCTGGTTAACAAACATTTTTGTTATCTTACAACTATGTTCGCCTCGAGCCAAGTTGTCACACACGCTCCTGTACAAAGCAATTTTAAAAATTTAACATTGCCAAAAGTTGTATAGGACATTAAAACTTCGGGCAGGAAATAAAATTCAAGGAACGACAAGAAATAAGAAAGTTTCCTTAAAACAGCAACAAAATGAACTTACAGAAACGCTACAAAGGCACTCAAATTTAAAAAAAAATTTTAATTTTTATAATTTGAAAAAACTTTCTTTACAACTTTTTTGGTCAAATTACTCGGCCATTTTAGGCCGAACCCGAACCCGAATCGAATCCCAACCCGAACTTCATGGTCGAATTGTTCGATAACCGAACCCGAACGCTCGATCGGACACTAGTATTTAGTTTAGCTTCATCAAGTAGTAAATAAATTGTCGTTGTTTTAATATGAACTAACCGCTATAAAGGGATCTTTATTTAATTTGTTCAGCGGGTTCCATAGTACGTTTGGCTTAACAGACTTTTATTTAAGGTGCCTAGAGTAGGTAGCAGCAGAAGGGTTGGAATTTTGAATTTTTTCACTCGAAGGTGTCCATGAATTGTAATTTTTGTTTATATTTTACGNCTGATCACACAGCGAATAGCGGGGTTTACACGATCAAACATGTGTGACAGTATGGTGGGGTGGCCATTGATGTTCGATCGTGTAAACCCTCGAACAACTGCTCGACACACATGCTGGCTGGTTGACATAAATTTTTGTTATCTTACAGCTATGTTCGCCTCAAGTCAAGTTGTCACATACGCTCTTGTACAAAGCAATTTTAAAAATTTAACATTGCCAAAAGTTGTATCGGGCATTAAAACTTCGGGCGGGAAGTAAAATTCAAACAACAACAAGAAATAAGAAAGTTGCCATAAAACAGCAACAAAATGAACTTACAGAAACGCTACAAAGGCACTCAAATTAAAAAAAAATTTAATTTTTATAATTTGAAAAAACTTTCTTTACAACTTTTTTGGTCAAATTACTCGGCCATTTTAGGCCGAATCCGAATCGAATCCCAACCCGAACTTAATGGTCGAATTGTTCGGTAACCGATCCCGAACGCTCGATCGGACACTAGTATTTAGTTTGGCTTCATCAAGTAGTAAATAAATTGTCGTTGTTTTAATATGAACTAACCGCTATAAAGGGATCTTTATTTAATTTGTTCAGCGGGTTCCGTAGTACGTTTGGCTTAACAGACTTTTATTTAAGGTGCATAGAGTAGGTAGCAGCAGAAGGGTTGCAATTTTGAATTTTTTCACTCGAAGGTGTCCATGAATTGTAATTTTTGTTTATATTTTACATTTCGTTTTTTAATTAAAGAGGACAAAATCAACAAAAGAAAAACACGCAGTTTCTTGTTTTGGCCCTAATGTTGCTACCTGTTTTATGTGCCTTGCTTTTATCTAAATGGGTAGGCGAAGTGGTACTTACTGATTTGAGATGATAAAAAGATCTTTTTGGCAATTTCATGCCTGTTTAAAATATCATAAAAAAATAAAAAAAAAGTAATTTGTAAGCAAAAAACAAAACCGACCAATTCTCATATACAAATTTAGTTTCTTCGCGATCAAATTATCGGATCTAGTTAGTATGCGACCACTCTTGAGGTACCACCTTTCCGATGAAAAAATANATGTGCCTTGCTTTTATCTAAATGGGTAGGCGAAGTGGTACTTACTGATTGACAGTTAAAAATTGGGGATTCGTATGAAATCTTTGCTCTAAATTTAAAAAAATATACAAGTTATNCAATTCTCATATACAAATTTAGTTTCTTCGCGATCAAATTATCGGATCTAGTTAGTATGCGACCACTCTTGAGGTACCACCTTTCCGATGAAAAAATAATCGAAATCGGTTAACGTGGCCCAAAGTTATGCGGTAACATACATAAAAAAAAAATATTCCGACGAACTGATAACCTTCTTTTTGTGAAGTCGGTTAAAAATTGGGGATTCCTTGCTCTAAATTTAAAAAATATACAAGTGACATCTTGACAAATCTCTTAATAATGTATATGTATTTGTATTTATTTTCAGCTCAATCTTGAACTGGATGCAATAACATCACTTCAGGCATTACCTACTCCGTTTGCTTACCACCAACCACTCTTAGAAGAGATCAGCAGTGAGTAGTAAAAACAACCAAATCAAAGAAACTTTTAACCGCACCAAAGGACGATATTAGTCAGCCCCAATCGCTAATAGTTTTGCTTTTCGTAGTAGCATTAATACTACGCTTTTGCATCTTTTTGGGTGGTCCTAATAACAAATAAAATTTGTCAAGCTGAAGCAGTTGTCGCAAGACGTGACGGTGCTGTTGAAAATTGAAAAAATGGACAGCATCGGTGAGGAGAACGGAAACTCGAACAATATTGAGGAAGGTCACAATTTGACGACCACCTCAACACAGCACCAAAGTAACAACTCCTCGAATTCAATCGCAGCACCGCCCACAGCGAGTGCGGCCCCTGTGTTGGGCACAGCTGCGAATGTACAATACCCGTTAGCGCCAGTGCACAGTCTACAGGTATTTAGGCTTTTTTTCAATTCATTGAATTGCTGTTATCTCTTTATAATATTACTTTGTTTGTTGTATATCATCAACATCGTCACCATCAGCAAATGCAGTCTGTAATTCAGGCAGCCAATCAGTCGTCAGTCATTCAAACAGCCGCCACAAATGCGGTACCTGCGGTGTCGCCGGCGTCGACAGGGCCCAAAGGTGTACTATATGTGAATAAAGCGCCGAGTACAACGGTCATACATACAACATCAGGCAGTGGTGTGCAAGTGAGTCGATATATGAATATGATTATTAAAATTATTTAACGCTTAAAAAAAAATTTTAATTCTATAATTTTTTCTGTTTCTGTCTACTGTTTATTTGTGTGAATTGGCGATTTTAAAAACTATTTAACTAACCTCAATTACTGACCTAGCTCCCTCCAAATTTTCAATGTAAGATCAAACCCGAACCAAATACACAACACCTCGATACGAATAGCGAGGATAGTCTTACTGATGATGATTCGCCGCAGCGACGAATAGAGCTCACACGAAGACCATCATATCATAAAATATTCACCGAAATTAGTGGACCTGATATAACGGGTAAGCGTGCATATACATTTATTGTAAAAAAAATTTATTTTAATATATTCTAGTTATGGTCCATGCGTTGGTTTATTTTTTATTCAAACACACTGTATGTACATATATGCCATACTAATAATTTCATTCAGACTCATCAAAACTACCTTGACTCAGAATGTTGCATTTGTATTAAAATCATAAAAGTGCACAATGCTCAGCGCGATTAGGAAAAACATATGTACATATAGGCGGATACATACATACATAAATATATTTAAGCGGAATTTATTTATAAATTCATTAAAGTGTTTCATCCAAGAGTAAATCGACGGCCATATCGAATTTGCTATGCCTCTTTTGGACTTGGCAAATTTTCTTTTATTGAATTTAAACTGGAAGTTATAAAAAAAATCGCAGGATTTTGAATTCCTGCTAGCTTATGTATGTATGTGTGTATGTATCTCAATGTACTGCGCATCGATCTCTCGTGTACTACGTGCCGTGCCTTATCATCATTTTAATCATAGCTAAATCCACCAGCTCTGTCCACCTTTTTAATCGTGCATATATCAAGATCATCACAGCATCCAGCATCACTGTATGAATTCAAAAAAAATAACTATTTCGTGAACATATTTGCATTCGTTTAACAAACATAAATTTACTCAAGTTGCCGTGCATCGCTGCAATTTTGTATGTGTAAAAGTACTTCAGTGTCATCCCGTCATTATCTTTATCCATATAAGTACATATGTATGTATGTACATGTATACATATAGTTATGTATTTCCATTGCTCAGCATCACTCTGTCATATGCATACCATTATTTATATATTTAAATATGTGTTTTTTAAATATTTGTTTTTGTGTCTTTGTAAAAATGTATTCTTGTTAATTACACACATTACAGTAAATATGTATTAATAATCGTTTCATCATAGGCTGGCTATCATCATCGTATTGCATTCTTTCCATTCCACTTTGAGTGCAGTCATCTAGTCATCTTTGAAAATTCTTTTTTAACGCTTGTTTATTTGTTTGTATGTATGTATGTTTGTGATTTCATTGTAAATACAATTGAAGAGAAGAGAGCTTACAATAGTCGAAACATTTAAAAAAAAAGAAATTATACGAAATAATAATCCGGTTGCTGCTGACTTTGCAAAGTCTCTTCACGATAATGAAGTTTTCGCAAAAAGCTTTTAAAAAATTTGAAGCGTACACAGAACAGACAAACGATGGAAATCAAGAGATATAATTGCGATTTCCTTAAAATATTTTGTTTTGATTAATTAATTGATTTCACGAATCCATTTTAAATCACCATGTAGTCGAGGAATTTTTTTTTAATTCGGTTCCTTTATGCCCTCTTATGGCCAGATATAATAGAACGAATGGCAGAGTTCTACAATTTTGGGGATTTTTCGGGATATACACTACACTCGTGGACAAATAAAAAAAAGAGGTGCAAAATTTGTATGCTTTTTTTAATTTTGTACGTATAAAAATGTATTTAAAACTTTGTACAAAAATTAAAAAACTGATATTTTTTTAATTTTCACCAACATTTCAAAAATTTATAGTCCATTAAATTAAGTGAATTCAAACGATTTTCGTCAAAAATTTCAAATTGTTAATTAGAATTCTTAGAAATTATTTTGGTATGCAGTTTTAAATAAGGTGACCAGAAATTTTTAACATTCCAGAAGGACCGATTCTCCACTTAAAAAAAATTTCTGTCTTAACACATAAATAACGAATAAATTAACAATTCAAAGTTTCTCTAAACACAAGTCAAACAAGTTATTAGNTCTTTGAAAATTCTTTTTTAACGCTTGTTTATTTGTTTGTATGTATGTATGTTTGTGATTTCATTGTAAATACAATTGAAGAGAAGAGAGCTTACAATAGTCGAAACATTTAAAAAAAAAGAAATTATACGAAATAATAATCCGGTTGCTGCTGACTTTGCAAAGTCTCTTCACGATAATGAAGTTTTCGCAAAAAGCTTTTAAAAAATTTGAAGCGTACACAGAACAGACAAACGATGGAAATCAAGAGATATAATTGCGATTTCCTTAAAATATTTTGTTTTGATTAATTAATTGATTTCACGAATCCATTTTAAATCACCATGTAGTCGAGGAATTTTTTTTTAATTCGGTTCCTTTATGCCCTCTTATGGCCAGATATAATAGAACGAATGGCAGAGTTCTACAATTTTGGGGATTTTTCGGGATATACACTACACTCGTGGACAAATAAAAAAAAGAGGTGCAAAATTTGTATGCTTTTTTTAATTTTGTACGTATAAAAATGTATTTAAAACTTTGTACAAAAATTAAAAAACTGATATTTTTTTAATTTTCACCAACATTTCAAAAATTTATAGTCCATTAAATTAAGTGAATTCAAACGATTTTCGTCAAAAATTTCAAATTGTTAATTAGAATTCTTAGAAATTATTTTGGTATGCAGTTTTAAATAAGGTGACCAGAAATTTTTAACATTCCAGAAGGACCGATTCTCCACTTAAAAAAAATTTCTGTCTTAACACATAAATAACGAATAAATTAACAATTCAAAGTTTCTCTAAACACAAGTCAAACAAGTTATTAGTACACTGCGTTGCATAATTATAAGATCGCCTGATATTAACAAGTTTTGACTATTTATTTTTAAATTATTTAATTGTAATTGTATTGCTTGCAAAAGAAATTGCTTTTGTTCTCCGTCTTTCATCAAAGTTCGACTACAATTTTGTACCAACGCTATACCTCGTTCAGCAATATCATTAACATATTTAATACTCTTAATCATCTCTAAGACAACCAACTTCAGTGTAATTTTTAGAGAATGTAGTGCCCCACAAGAATATGCCTATTTTATGCCTTTTTTTTAACGGTTCAAAAGTTATAACTTTTTAAATGAAAAAAATTCTTTTACATGTTATTTTCATAGAAAATTTCTAGTGCCCGCCGACACCTTTTAAAACTGAAATCAAAATTTGTTCAAATCGCAAAATTTCCTTCTCAGTAAACAGGTAATTTTAAGGCCACAAATTCGCTAGCTTAGTTATTTTGGATCATCCTATTATATACATACAAGAACTACTCGTTTAAAGTAATAAGAATAAGTGGCAAAATTTCCAGGAAAACACCCCCCAAAAAAGTGTAGATCCGTCACTGGGCCTGTGTTATTTTTGATTATGTACTTGGATGTGAAATAACACATTTTCAAAATTTTTTTAAGCATATTTACTCTCCAATGCAACGAACATACTTGTTTTAAGCCATATTACAAATGGTTTTATCAAGATAAAAAGTACACAACTATTGCCCCAGATAAAAAGTATACATACATATCTGGAAAACAAAATAACATATGGTAGAGAATAATTTTCGATTGTGAAGACCCGTCGTTAGCTAGCCTTTCAGTGTTGTAAAGGGTAATACGGCTTTGCCACTGCACCGTGAATTACTTTGTTCGCTCCCCCAATTACGATCGCGAATTACCCCATTCCCACGGGCAAATTCTTAATTCGATTTGACAGTTCTCTTGTTTTTCTACGCTACAAGGATAATATTTTTGCGAAGGACAAATCACGTCTGAGGAGGACAATTCTCCTCAAAGGAGTACAATAAAGAGCGACTAGTAATTCGCGTTGGTTTTTAATAAATTTTTTTTGCTGGCGGTTCCACTCATTTTCTTCCATATAAAGTATGTTAGAAAGTTTTTTTTTTATATATAGAAGGCAAGCATAAGCAAAAATTATGTTATTACCGAATTTTTTTCTTGAAATTTTGATTTAAAAGTTTGAGATTTTAGTGAAATGAAATTTTAATAATTTTTTACAATGTGGATTTATATTGGGGATGTTATATAATGGGCTAAAATTATATACAAAATTTTTAAATATTAAATAAACAAAAGGAAAATATCCCAGACTTGTCAAAATGTAGTACACCTATTTTTTTTTATCCATGAGCGTGTGTAGTACATAAAAACTAGACCTTTCCGCTTTGAGAATGAGAATATCGGTGGCATAAAGTTCGATTTTGACCAAACTGCTAGATACATAAAAAAAAATTTAAATTTAAAAAAATATATATTTATTGGGTTTAATCTGAACTTCTCCTAGCATGCTGTTTTCCCTCTTACTCACCCTATATAAATTTATTTTTGCACGTTCTAAGCATTTTAATAAACGTAAGCCTTATTAGAATACTCGCTTGTGTTCAGTAACAGTACTCAGAACTCGACAGTACCCGATTTTAAAAAGTATCGATACTGAGTCTCCAAAGTGCTCATTATGTACTCACAAGAACTAGAAAGTACTCAGTACTCAAGAATGCTCTGTACAAAGTTCGTTTTATATGTATGTAGTGGTACATATTCACCCAATTTCAAGTTTTCAAAAGCACTATACTTGTGCCCAGGACAGTTAGCCAAAGTTTAGTACTATGAAAATACGATTTGTGGCGTGCGCCTTGATGTTGACACACAAAGGGGAGGGACCTACTCCGACTCCGAACGGCGATTGTATTTTTATGAGAAGCTGTTTTCCATACCAGAAATACATTCGGAAGTTTGCCATTACCTTCGGAGGGGCGACCGCTATAAGAGGAACTTTTATTGTTTTTGTTTTATTTTTGACGTTGGTCGGAAACTGGGCTCGAAGCCAGGCCTGCGGATTGCCAACAATGGATTAAACATATGGTTAATAAAAATAGTTTTTACATTAATAGTAAGAAAAATATATTCAGGGTTACCGTTTAACCCGTAAATATTGAAAGCCGAAAAAAATGTTCAAACACATTTTTAGAGTTCAGCAAAAGTTTCGAAATGTTGGTGAATTTTAAGAGTTTAATTAATTTAATTAAATTAAGAACTTATGTACCAATTTTTTTAATACATGGATGCCTAATTCGTTGCCAGCATTTTCTATACAATAATTCACTGATTTGATACGACATTTCTGTGAAACCATCGCCAATGAGATTGAAATTTTTTCGAACCCGCTTCCGTTGTCGGGAAGTAATATGTTCCACCATCGTTTTCTATCTCCAATAGATATTTTTAAAATTTGAAATTCGTTATGGATTTTAAAATTGGAAAGTAAATCTATTAATAACAATTGTAATGCCGTTCGAATGACTGTTTCTTACAAAATAAAGACATGCACAAAAATTTCAAAATTAAAAAACAATGTGGGGGTCCACTACGAGTGTTTGAAAAATAGATTTTTGTTGAATCTCGAAAATTTTGAATTTAACAAGCTGTAACTCAGCGAGCTTATGAATTTTTACAAATAAGTTTCAGTAACATGTCAAATTTATCAGATTTCATGTTGAAATTTTGTAGAATTTTTGCTATTTAAAAAACTTTAAATTTTTTCAAACCCTAAAACTTTGTTTAAAATTTTGAAATTTTCGTTTGTCTTTAATTTGTATCTATGTATAACAAAACTAATATGTTGGTATTTTTAAGGACCACCCTAATACATATGCAATAAAACAAGCCAAAAGCATTATCCGGCGAAAGGGATTAGTCCTATGTTAGGTCATATTTTAATATTTTTGATTGTGTTTTTTTTTAAATACCAAATTTTTTGACGTGGACATGACCACAAGCGAGCGATAGGTACCCTAAAAAAAGAGGGTAATATATTCTTTCTTAAAAATTTCGTTCTTCGTTTGCGTGGGTGTGTCTAATTCTCAGCGAGATTATCATCTCTAGGACGGCCAAGGGTTTATTTTATGATTTTATTTTTTTTTCTATAGTAACTCAAAAGTTCCACTTCGGAAATATGCGACCAGCGTGAAAAAAACAACAATTGCATCACTGTTGAAGTTTTTAAATAAAAAACCTATATTTTTTTTATTAAAACAACTTTGCAGTATCGCCTCAAATATCGCGCACTCTCTCTCTCTAACAAGCACACCGCTATTTGCGCTCACATCATGTCAATGTTGGTCTATTGCTCTTTGTAATTTAACTCCACGATTGAGAGAATACAAAGGTTGCGCCGATCTCGGTACCGCTATTTTTCTCTTAACGAATTTGACAGAATCGTTGTTTGCATGACGTCACACTGGTGCAACTTGTTTACGTTTTCCTTTGCATCATTTTTTCTTCTTCTTCCATTCTTGCTCACGTTTTGGCATTTCTCTCTCGCAATTGCACCAGTGTGACGTCACACAAAAGTTATTCTCAAAAATCCTCTCTGATCGGCGCAATCTTGTATTCTATCATTCTTGATTTAACTCGATTTAAACAATAATGCCATGCCATTGTAAAGCCGTAACAAATGCGTGTATTTTCTCATCATACATATCTACATGTTTGTACATGCGTCTCTTTCATCGCGACGTTTTCACTATTGGCTCCTGTCTCACTAAATTCACTGTGTCTCTGTCCATAATTTGCTTCTCTCCCTACACTCTCTCTCTCTCTCTCTCTCTCTATCTCTGTTTCCCAGTTTCTGCCACTGTCTGCCATGTGTGTGTTTTGCGCTCTGTAAATTGTTTGTCAATTCAAACGTGTTGCCTGCCTGTTACTGAGGCCGATAAACTTGCTGTCATCATTGCATCGAATGCTACCAACCATTCACTAAATATCGATATGCTCAAATCAACCAATCTTAAACAAAAAAAACCTATATTCATATAGGAAAGCACTAACATTAAATTTAAGGCTTTTTAGACATAATTACATATTCTCATAAGCGTACCTAAAACCAAATAAAATCTTCATATTTAAGGTGCAATGCATACTATTCATAAATTCGTGTACATAGGTTTGCACAAAAAGTGTTAGAATCCTAAACTTTTTTGTAGTATGTCAGTCAGTAAGTGAGTAACTTAATAATTTGTTTATTGATTTTATTCTCGACTTTTTCCAAAAATCCTACTCCAACACTTCAACTTCGCCTCTTCTCAACTCTCGATGCAATCCAAACTTGTACAATAAAATTTTGTAATCATGGCTATGCGACATGTTGCTAATTTTCAACAATCCCCGACACTCTTTGATTGCCAAACACACATGCAATAAAAAATAAAAAATAAACAAACAAACGAATGAAAAAACTGAATTCGAATTATGATTTGAAACAAAACGAATTACTGGCGATGGTGTAATCGGTATATTTGATCGATTTTCAATGGTTTTATCGATGACGTGATGACAATGATTGTGTGAATTTGATTTGTACCGATCCGATCCGATCTGATCGTATGTGATAACGATTAACTAAAGGTGGAGCGACTTTGCAAATGTCAGAGACTGGTGGATTATCTACGTTACCGGGCACGGGGGGCAACACAAGCGGCACACTAATACAATTGCCGCCGGATAACGCGCCGACATTTTACATACCTCATAGGATTCCATACAATACCAGTAAAGAACGTTTCCAATTATTTTTGTATTTACTTTAGAATTGATTATTTCTTTAAAAATTTTAACCAAAACGTGCAATGAGCGCGCTTTTTTCGAGTCGCTCTTTAGAGAATTTAATTATTTATAGCTATGCATTAGCATATTAGAAACTTATTTTGTACTTTCTTTGCTTTTGTTCACTACAGATAATAGTGGCATAGCCGAGGATCAAACGCGAAAGCGTGAGATACGTTTACAAAAGAATCGTGAGGCAGCGCGTGAGTGCCGGCGTAAAAAGAAAGAGTACATAAAGTGCCTGGAGAATCGGGTGGCGGTGCTTGAGAACCAAAATAAAGCGCTCATTGAAGAACTGAAGTCACTCAAGGAGCTCTATTGTCAAACAAAGATCGATTGAAATAGGCAGGATGATGACGACGACGACGACGATGCGGTTGGGACGGATGTGACGGCTTCGGTTGACTATGAGGACGACGCCGATTGCGATGGTGATGGTGACGATAACGACGCCGATGAGGACATTGTTGACGAAGTTGATACCTCTGATGCAGAGGGGACGTCAGTTGCGACAGCGGAAACCGCGACCAATACAAACTTTGAAACAGTAATTGCTAGAGAAGTTATTAATGTCGATGCGACATGCGAAACGAAAGCAGCTACACTACTTAGTAATGAGATAAAATACCATGAGGACGATAATAGGAGTCCTTATGAAGAGGACCTCGCTTTGTTGCGAACTGTTGCAGCTGAACGAAATGTTGCTCGAGCGAATAGTCACAAACTGCAATTGGTGCATGTGGATACGACTCCGTCTGCAGTAGTAGCAACAACAACAACAACAACAAATACTATTGTGCGTCGCCTTGTAGTAGCAAATGTGAATGCTGCCGCAGCCGCTGCCGTCAATGCCACCGCCGCCACCGTTGTTTATGTGCCCGCTAGACCTCCCACAAATTGTTAACCTGATTCGGCGAAGAGTTAGATTTGCATTAATTTTTCGTCTGAACTAAAAATTTTTGATGATAAACAAAAACTAAAAAAATCAATCAACACAAAAACACTCAAGCATAGAAAGTGAAGATAAAACATTTTTTTGTAATCTAATTTATATACATATGTATGTACGTATCTTTTTAGAATGAGCCGAGAAAGGATAAATGCATTATAATTATGTAAATGCAATGCATTTACATATGTACATATTTATATGTATGCACATATGTATAATGACAATGGAAATAGTAAGAGTTAGATATCTATTAACGACAGCCCAGAAGGCTGTGGTGATTTTCGACAAGCTTAAGTTTACGGAACGACAACAGGATGTTTAAACCTTTTTTATAAAACAAACGTGAAATTAAGTTGCAATTCTTAACAAATGTTTTACATTTAAAAAATAAATTTAAATACATATATTTTTTATCTAAGTTTGTATGCTACTGTACAATTAAGTAAAGTAAAGTTGACGTAGCGCAGAGTGATGCAGAGGAGTAGCGAATGCTTTTGATACCTTGACGCTGTAGGAAATTATGAAATGCAACTAAATTTAATATTAAAAGGTTTAAGAAATACAAATTGCAAATCAAGCAAGGTTAATGAAAAAAAAAAAAAATAAATAAAACATAGAAGCACGGAATGAAGCATTATAACGTAAAGATTCAAAAAATTTAAATATCAAGCATGAAAAGTTGTAAATTATACAAAAATTTTAATTAATGATGTATATTTTTCTTATGTATGTTACCGCATAGCTTTGGATTACGTTAACCGATTTCTATAATTAAGGTGGTACCTCCCATACCAAATTGGTTTCGATCCGATCATTGGATCATGAAGAAATTAACGGTAAACTAAATTTTTATTTGAGAATTGAATTCGCTTTTGTTTTACGCTTAAGAATTACTTGTTTTGTGAAAGAAAATAAAAGGATAAATGGTAGCTAGTCGCTCGGTATTTCCTTGGCTAAGCGGTACATTAACAACCATGTCCAAATAAGCGTGGTTGGCCTTACGCCCATCAACTTGTCATCTTCTGGCTCATATAAATTTAATGTGTTAGACAGAGAGATAAGCACACAAGCGTAACATGGAACGCGCCATTTTGGGTATAGTTATAAGGAACATTTTCTTCAGTGTTAGTTTAATTGCAGTATACCTCTAAACAAATTGTAATTATACAAATAATAGGGATTTAAACTTCATTTAAGCCGAGTTACTAAGGTATAAGCTAGCACTGAAAACTCATATTTTTTATTTGTTGCTTGCTTAGTTAGTTAAGTATATATATTTGTATGTATAATATTATATTATCAAGCCAACAACAAATTCATATGCTTAAATGCTTATTTTTTAATTTAAATTCATTTAAGTATGCAAGTCTACTCTACATACATACTACTATTTAATTACAAAACTTTTTGTTAATATTGTCATTAATTTAAATAAAAAAGCTATGCCGAAGAATTGGCATAAAACAGAGTCAAACGAAAATTTAAAAACAAAAAATTCTCAAAATATTTGTGTATTTAAATATTTACCCGCGGGTTTCACACAGAGTTTTTATACAAATATGTAAAATAATTTCAAAATAGGTACATACTATATATTTTTGCTTTCATTTTACTATGTATACATATCTAGCTGTATATTTTTTTAAGCGAGTTAAGGTATTAAGGGCGTTAAATATTTTGGAATTAAAAAATCGTAGCACAGTAGCCTTTGTTATGGTAATCGTCAATTGGTACCAGAGATACGTCAGGATGTGCCACGACCGGTTTTTAATGTTTTCAACTCTAATTCAGTTATGTGGCACTAATAAAAATACCACATTTCATTATTCTAGCTAGATGCTTCAAAGGTATTGAACTTTAGAATTTGAGATCACATGGGAGTTACCATAGCTCTAAAGTTTTGAGGTTATATGTTGTATATAATAAAAAACAAAATCATTATTATTTCCGTGGAACAACCATTTTTCGACCACAAACAAACTATGCCCAAACGTGGTAGTCAAACTCCTATATCATTCTTGNATTTTCGGAATCACCGAGCAATTTTACATAGGAATTGGATAGTGGCATCCGTAGAACATTTTTGCTGTAAACCAGTGCATTTTGGAAAAAAAAAGAAAATATATTGCTCAACATATTTATAATAGGGCACGCTAAAGTTGTACGAAAGCGGCAGCTAGCGTAAGTTTTATGCAAAAATAAACATAAAAAATTGATTCCGCGACACAAAATATAGTAGACAACGAATGATAAAAAAAAAAACATTGTGATAAAGGGTATTTTAAAAATCACCAATTATAAATACGCATAAAACACACAACCAGATCTATGGGCNTTACATGATTGTACTAATAAGCAAATATTTTTTTTTTTTTATTTTTTAGTACGGAAAGTCGGTTTTGTTAATTACTCAACCATACTGCATATGTGTGACGCTTACAGTAAATTTCAGTATTCTATAGATGAAACGAAAATAGATTTTAAATACCTCGTTTTCTAATACGAAAATATAAATAATACATACGGGGTTATTGTTCAGTCTATCGAAGGTTCGATATTTCTAAAATTTACGAAAATGTTCACCCTATTACGAATTCGTGCGATGCACGATAAACGCTTGCATTCTGTTATTCTCTATTACGAATCGATGTTGTCGTATGAAATTCGATAGTTTAGCTAATTTAAACATAAAAATTTGTTTCCCCGACATAAAATATAGTAGACAACGAATGAAAAAAAAAAAAAACATTGTGATAAAGGGTATTTTAAAAATCACCAATTTTAAATACGCATAAAACGCACAACCAGATCTATGGGCTAAAAATCCTTTTGGGGATTTTGTTACAGGAGGTGTAAAGCTGGGGTGCTCAATAAATATAACTTACAGAGCCGAACGACAGCAACGTAAAAAAATTACAACAAAATCTTTTTCGGAATAGGAAGCATTACTTCGACGCAAAACTTTGTTCGTACTAAACTAACAACAAAGCAATAATACAAACCTACAGCTGAGCAAACGCGGGCTAGCAGTGAAAGAATGTCGATAGATTGTTGTCCCATTTGTTTTTACTGATATGCGTCAACGCTTGCTGCGATCATTTTGCAGTGCTTCCAAAAAGGATGTGATGTGTTTGTTGTCAGTGGGCCAAGGCGATGCACAGTGATGTGCTGAGCCAAAGTAAGCCTACTAAGGACCGGGTTGTAATGGAAGTAACGGAACGGAGTGAACTGTAACTTTATTATTATGTGAAATGTATGCAAATGGTTATATGGCACGAAAATGTAACGTAAAAACGGAAGAATTAATCGATCTTTATGAATTCGCCGCGATTTGTTACGATTCGCACCATGCATTACAAGCAATGCATAAACTACTGGGTGCGCACTCCTNACGTAAAAAAATTACAACAAAATCTTTTTCGGAATAGGAAGCATTACTTCAACGCATAACTTTGTTGGTACTAAACTAACAACAAAGCAATAATACAAACCTACAGCTGAGCAAACGCGGGCTAGCAGTGAAAGAATGTCGATAGGTTGTTGTCCCGTTTGTTTTTACTGATATGAGTCAACGCTTGCTGCGATCATTTTGCAGTGCTTCCAAAAAGGATGTGATGTGTTTGTTGTCAGTGGGCCAAGGCGATGCACAGTGATGTTGTGCTGAGCTAAAGTAAGCCAACTAAGGACCCGGTTTTAATGGAAGTAACGGAACGGAGTGAACTGGAACTTTATTATTATGTGAAATGAATGCAAATGGTTATATGACACGAAAATGTAACGTAAAAACGGAAGAATTAATAGATCTTTATAAATTCGCCGCGATTTGTTACGATTCGCACCATGCATTACAAGCAATGCATAAACTTCTGGGTGCGCACTCCTGTAGCTCGTTTCTGTAACTTTTCTTTACCGATTATTTCTCTACTGGTAGAGAATATGCATCATTCTCTACTACTCATTAGCAGTAGAGAACAGGGCGGCGAATTCATATCTCAATTCGCCTTGGTAGAGAATTGTTACAGAAACGAGCTACTGGTGTAAACTATCATTTAGTTTTGGTTTCATCAAATACGTAGAATCCTGTTGCACTGTGAGAATCAGGCAGGTTCTACAATTCATTTCCGAGTGAATTTCAGCCCCTGCCAATTTGAATTCAAAGCGAATTTAATTGAAATTCATATGGAAGTGAATTGCAGAACTTGCCTGATTAAAGGAAATAGCATCGAGTTCGACGCTATGCTCGTTTGCACTATCAATAATTTGCACTTTGATATGTGCACTCGCATTGAAACATTTACGTTTGTAATCGTCGCACAGTGTAACGCCTGCAGCCGAAAATAGTAAAAATGAAAGTGGTAAGTTTAGAAATATTTTGTTGGCGATCGATCATAAATACTCTAATTAAAAGGGCGCTAAACCGCNTACGTAGAATCCTGTTGCACTGTGAGAATCAGGCAGGTTCTACAATTCATTTCCGAGTGAATTTCAGCCCTTGCCAATTTGAATTCAAAGCGAATTTAATTGAAATTCATATGGAAGTGAATTGCAGAACTTGCCTGATTAAATGAAATAGCATCGAGTTCGACGCTATGTTCGTTTGTTATATCAATGATTTGCTCTTTGCTATGTATGTGCACTCGCATTGAAAAATTTACGTTTGTAATCGTCGCACAGTGTAACGCCTGCAGCCGAAAATAGTAAAAATGAAAGTGGTAAGTTTAGAAATATTTTGTTGGCGTCCGATCATAAATACTCTAATTAAGAGGGCGCTAAACCGCATAACCGAAAGTAATGAAAAATACTACTAATTTCCACCAAGAAGGGGGAACTTTAATCCTGTGTAGAAAACATTGCTAACATAATTTTCACACAGCCACCTAGAACTTGTATACGTCTGTGGGACCCGAGAATAAAATAACTTACTTATTTAAAATCTGTTTAAAAAATACTCAACTCTTTATTAAACAAAAAATACACAAGAATACCAATCATTGAGGTGTTAGATGCAATAAGGGCACTTTTGTTAAAACTGTTTTCTGAGATATTGTCATTAAAGTTTTTTGGTGTGTGATAACTTTCTTGTTGTTGTAGTAATATGTAAAAAAGGAATGTTGTTGTGGTATTGAAAAAAAAAATTGTATATATTCTGGAGTAGTAGTTCCTCCAAGCGATGTATTTCTATGTGCATTCATCATGAAAATTTTGTACAAAATTCCTTAACCGCCGAACGCCGCCGGCGCCGCGCCGATATTTTCGTAGCTCGGCGGCGGCGCGTGAGTAATGACAGAAAACGGCGGCGTATACCTCTAGTACATATACATATGTAGATAG